CTCCTCCTTCTTGTACCAGGAGTTGAACTCAGGGGCACTCGACCACTGAGCCATATCCCCAGCCCTATTTTGTATTTTATTTAGACAGGGTCTTGCTGGGTTGCTTAGTGCTTCCGAAGCTGGCTTTAAACTCTCGATCATCGTGCCGCAGCCTCCCCAGCTGCTGGGATTATAGGCATGTGTCACCGCACCTGGCTGGGTGGGCTTCTGGTGGTGGCCTCTCTGGCTTCAGACCCCACCTCACAGGCTGGCAGCCCTGGCGGCTCTGAGGGTCCCGGAAGCTCTGAGTACACCACACTGGGCTCAGCCTGCTGGGCTATGCTGAGTCACTTCTAGTCCTGAACCCAGGAACACCTCAGCCCCTTGTTTATTTTCCTAGAATTGTGTAAATGCCGGAGACTCACCAGTCCTGGGCCAGCAAGCTCAGCTTGTTGGGAGGCAGAAAGCCATGGCTCTGGGGAGAGGGGGCAGCTGTGGGCAGTGCAGCCAGGAAGGTGTGTCTGTGGTACTGCCTGGAGCCAATTCGAGGGGTCACCTGACCAGGGTTGCCCAATTCTGGTGACCACAGTGAACCCAACCTGCCAAGGGAAGACATGGGGATCATGCAGAGCCCTGTGCCCCGAGACGCCCTGACTGCCGAGCGCCCAGAGGGACCAGGCCTGCAGGGGCTCCCGTTGCCATGACTGAGGCACAGCCTCTCAACTTCCAGGAGGGTCAGGGTGTCACTGACTGGGGGCCTCTCTAAGTCTCCTGTCACTGCCTGTGGCCCCAACCTGAGGTCAGGGGCCTCCTGCCAACCTACATTCCTTGAGTATGGAGTCTAGGGGAGTCTTGCCAGGGGACAGAGCTGCCCCTGGGGTTGTGTGACCCAGAAAGGGCTTGTGTGGGCCTGTGAGTCACTGTGAGGCCCCAAAGTGGGGGGCATGTGGTCCTGCAGTGGCCCCATGGGAGGCTCTGTGGCCCAGGAGGGCTGTGTTGTCCATTTCCAGGGACCAAGACAGCTGGAGCTCTTGGACAGCTAGGCTTTGGCCCTGGGGGGCTGGTGGCCTTGTGCAGGAGAGAAGGGGAGAGTGGGAAGCTTGGCCTGTTTGCTGGTGCTGGTCACCCGTGGCTAGGGGAGGACTGAAGAGGCCACCTTCCCTGCCCATCCTGCGTGGTGCCGAGGGGTCCTGCCCACAGGAGGAGTCCTGGCGTGGGTGGTACTTCTGCTGGTTGGCTTGCTGTCCACAGACACTGGGCTGCTCACTCGGTAAGTCCTGCCACAGGGCACCCCATGCTCTGGGAGGTGGCCTTTCACAATGGGGGCCCCTGCGCCTGTCAGTGCACATGGCAGGCAGCATCTTCCTGCTGAGCATCCGTCTCCCCTCTGGGAGAAGGTGGTGGCCCTTCCTTGTGGGGACCCATGAGCATCCTGGGCCTCCAGGGGCTCTGTCACCATGGCCACCTACCTAGCAGATCTCTGGGCAGGGAGGATGCAGAGGGGACAGTCATATCTTTGCAAGGTCCTTGCCCAAACTTCATTGTCCCTTGTCTTCCTCATCACCCTTTTTTTTTTTTTTTTTGGTGCTGGGGACTGAACCCAAGGCCTCGTGCATGTGAGGCAAGCCCTCTACCAACTGAGCTGTGTCCCCAGCCCCCTCCCCACTTTTTTTCATAATCAGATACGACTTTTCTTTATACATTTATTTATTTATTTTTATGTGGTGCTATGGATCAAATCCACTGCCTTACACATGCGAGGCAAGTGCTGTACCTCTGAGCTACAACCCAGCCCCTTCCGGTCACTCTTCCTGTCCTGCACTGGGGCGGGAGGGACCTGACACCCAGGCCAGTCAGCCTTCGCCCTCTCTGGCCCTGCTTAGGCTCACTGGCCTGGGTGTCAGGGCCCTTTCTTGTTGCGGGGTGAAGGGTCAGCCAGGAAATGGCGGATGTGTGGCTGAGGTACCCTGGTGGTTAGAAGCAGGCTGGGGCCTGAGTCTGCAGCATATGTGGGAACAGAGGGCCATGGAGGTGGTCGAGCCTGCCCTGCAGGTCCCTCTGTGCCAGGGGCTTCAGAGTCTTCAGGTGAGTGGCGCAGAGAGGAGGCTGGGCCACAGTGTTGGGAGGGCATGGTGATGGCAGAGCTTGGGTGTCCCCAGGGTGGGCTGCTGGGTGCTGGCATGTGACTGTGGCCTGTGCTCTCCTCCAGCCTGCTCAGTGGCCAGGCTGAGGGGCCACCCACCACCAATGTCATGTTCCTCAAGACACACAAGACAGCCAGCAGCCGGTGCTCAACATCCTCTACCACTGTGCCGAGGGGCACAACCTGACCACAGCACTGCCCACTGTCGGCTCCCGCTCCCACCTGGGCTCTCCCTGGCTCTTCTTGGCACACTACGTGGAGAGCGCCCACCAGGATGCGCCTGATCCTCCCTGCACTTCGACATCATGTGCCACCACCTGAGGTTCAACCTGCCCGAGGTGTGGGTGGTGCAGGCTGGAGGCTGGGCTTGAGGTGTGGACTGGGGCTTGGGCAGACGCAGCCTGGAGGAGAGAGAAGGGCCTCGGCTGAGGGGCTGGGCCGCTGGGCCACAGTTAATTGCCCTTGGAAGGAGACTAGGCTGCCTGCCCTGTACCAGAGGGCAGCCCCCTCCTTCTCTCTGCCCCCCTGCTCCCTGAGCAAGCCCGTCTTCCACCTCCGACCTCTGCAGCTGCCTTGGGTGAGGATGGACTCCATGGATCCTCCTCCAGGTCCTGAGGTGTCAGCTGGGATGAACTCCTCCCAGGGCACTCCTGAGCTGCTTTCAGGAAGACCCTAAGGGCCGGGCGGAGTTGAATGGGGAAGGGAGAATGGCTGGCAGAAGGCAAGGTGGCCTGGTCTGAGGCACAGCACCAGTGAGCCCTGTGGGGCTGGCACTGGGTCTGGGCTCTGGGGGGAGTCCACCGACGACAAGCCACAGGCCTCACTGGCACCTGCGGGCAGGAGGTGGGGGGTCTCTGTGAGTAGGTTCAGCGCTCACCCAGCACCCGATTGGTTCTTCCTTCTGGGAACAGGTGCAGAAAGTCGTGTCCAACCACACCTTCTACTTCTCCAACCTGAGAGACCCCGTTGCGCAGCTGACGGCCTCCTTCACCTACCACCAGGAGTACCTGCCGCCTTCCAAGGGCTCCAAAGTCTGCACGCGTTCCTGGACCCGCCGCAGCGGTACTGCAGTGCCAGCCCGGGGCTGAAGAATGCCTAGGCCAGGAATCGCAGAGGTCTGACCTGGACTTGGATCACAGAGGCAGCAGAGGAGGGCGATGTCCTGCGCGCCTGGCCGAGGTGGAGCAGCCGTCCACTCCTGTGCCCTCAGCCTCGGGTCTGAGCTGCCGTGTGTGGCTGTCGGGCTGGGTCCAGGAGGGATGTGGTTCTGCAGGACAGTGAGCTGTCTTCAGAGCCCTCCACCAAGAGCTGGCACAGACCTGGCCGTGGTCCAGGAGGGATG